CACACACACACACACACACACACACACACACACACACACACACACACACACACACACACACACACACACACACCACTTATCAACAACAGGTGATGGATCGTTCGTTGAGAGAGACTGAGACCTCCCCCCCTTCAGCTCCCACTGCCTACGCGCGTGTCCGCTGCGCCCCGTTTCTGTCCTGATGCCGACCCCGGTATCTACCCCTCCACCCGTTCCGCTCCCGCTGCCTCCCCAACTGCGCTCCCTCCTCAACTGCACCCCATTTCGCGAGACCGAATCCCCTGGCCCCCGATTGCGGTTTTCCGATCCCGATTTCTATTCCCCCTGCCTCCGCAATCCTATCCCGATTGTGATCGCCCCTCCCTTCCCAACTGCAGCCCGTTTCCTTGGCGATCCCGCTCCCGCTCGCGCTATCTACATCTCCCGATCCCGACCCCCTCGCTCCCCAACTGCGTCCCGTTTCCTTTGCCATCCCGATCCTGCTATCTACGCCTCCCGATCCCGACCCCCTCCCTCCCACACACGTAGGTCGCCCCAACTACAGCTACAATGAGTGGGCGTTCTATTCGGGTGAAGATGGTAGTACATTCATTCATGCTGCATCTGGTCCACATATTGCACGTGATGCTGTCGCCTGAATCTGAGTCAATTTGCTGGCACGATTCAGTGGGGTATGGTACAACACTTTTAAACCACCACTTCCTCCAAACCTGACCTGTGGAGTCTAACAAGTGTCAGAACCGTAACAACTTTTTATTTTTTTTTTAATTTTTTAACTACACTATGTTCTTCTCTCAAATTCTTTTTTGCCTTTTACTACCTTCCTACCACTACCCCTAAGACTTTTTTGTGTTATGAAAGTGAATGTGAATGAAAATGGAATCTATCTTCATTAAAATCAATCATCCAATCATTTTTTTTTATTTAGAGATCCGACGGTACCGAGYGGAAGGGCCGTCGCTCAACGGATAAAAGTTGCTCCAGGGATAACAGGCTGATCTTGACCCCTGCAAGCATAGGTAACAGTTTCTGGCAGTCTGAGATAGGAAAATACTTCCAACTCCAAACAAACATGTCCTGCTCGGCCCAAGAAAGGCCGGTACCATTACTACTGTACCAGTTTTTGGGACTCTGAGGGACTGAGAGGGCAAAATACCCAACCTCGAGACCTGATCTGCCAAGCGTGACAAGGTCAAGTACCACATCAGTTCTGGCAGTCTGAGAGGGGAAAATAGTACCCTACCTGTACCAGTTTTTGAGAGTCTGAGAGGGGAAAATACTCTACCTCAAGACCTGGTCTGCCAAGCGTAACAAGGCCCGGTACCATATCAGTTTCTGGCAGTCCGAGAGGGGAAAATGCCTTCCCTCCCTCTGCCTTCGGCTCGATACGGCCTTGAGTGGAACGTGATGGTTCGTGTCTCTTCTTGGGGGAAGAAATCTCAGTTTGGCCTGAGGGTTCACTTCTCGTCGGTGGATTCGATAAGGTTGAGGCACGGAGGTCTCCAGTCATAGAATACCCCAGCGCGGCTCTAATGCCCCGGTCCATCAGCCTGCTGGCATGCCCACAGGACCCGTGACGAGGTTCGAGCATGTCCATAACAGTGTTTCCGTCTTCGAAGCAGCTTTGAGCTCTCTGATGCTGTGTATTGCTTGCCAGGACCTGTCCCCTCATCATTTGGGCTAGAATATGGACCGCCTACGTTCGCGGCTGGTAGTGTGGGATTCTCACTCAGCGTCACTCGTCTTACGAACTAGTTTCACTGCATGTTTTTTTTTTGTTTTTTTTTTTTTTAAGAACCTCTTGGTTCTGGCTCCTGCCACTGCATGGTTCACAGGTTGCTTGCCCCTCCGCTGGTAGTTGTCTATTCAGAGGGCTTGCAGCATCAGGCGCCTGTACGGGTGCGCTCAGGGTTGCATCCCTGCTGACGGCCGAACCCGACCGCCGACCGTATTGCAGCCGACCAGTAGGGCTGACCGGTCGGCGGCCCTTGACATCTGTCTCTTAAACAGCGCACCGTTTAAGCTACGGTGTACTAGTAGAAACTTGGATTGCTGCTGGGGACAACGCGCTTGCTGCCGACATGGCTGCTTTTGGATCATGGTGGAAGCAGCAGTGGACATGGAACCAGCCGCGCTACCTGAGCGGAGAGCAACCTGCGCTTACCACTGCAGGCTACGTCAACAATGAAGTAATCGCTGCTTTTTTGTTTTTTTTTTAAAACAAAGCTGCAGTTTTATTTTATGAACCGATCAATGAGGCCGGGGATTCCTGGACATCTCAATCCGGAGAGTGATCTGGCCATTTCCCAGATTTCGCTCGAGCTGGAAACCGGGTCTCGAGCTCGCCCATTTCTGCACCTCCCACATAAATCAAAACTCGACAAATAAACACAGATAGAAATCAAGGAGCCAACTAAGCTACTGCCCTCTTAAGAAAATGCCCCCTTCTCCTGTTTGACCCTTAATCTCCTGGGGTATACCTTTTTTTCTCCACTTGGAAGATTACCAGAGATAGGGAATGGGGGGAACATAAAGGGAAAAAAAAAAAAAGGAGACCGGAGAATGATGTGTTGATGTCAGTGTTTGATGTATTATATCTGACTTGCTGTTCGAAAAAGAACCCGACGGAAGCTCGTGAAATTAGCATGGAGGTGGGGACTATGAGGGCCTCGTTTGTTTGTTTGTTTGTTTGTTTTTTTTTTTTTTTTTTTTTTTTTTTTTTGAAAACTGAGAAGCTTAACCTCCTTCCCTAAGAACCAAACTTGGGTTGGTTTTCACGGTAAGAAATAACGAGACAATCAGGGTTTGGTATGACTCCCGAATGAATGTCCAAGGTGAGTCGAATCTCATGCGATCGAGTTGGGAGTTGTGTGTTTAGGGACTACAAAACACGGTTAAGCTCTTACACGTGCATTGCTTTCTATGGGTTCTTGTCTTTTATCTTTTTTTTTTGGATTTTTTTTTGGAAAGGGGAGTATCGTGTAATGTCATTGTATCTATGATTGGCTTTCAAATTTCAAACTCATGAGCTGTTTACTAACGGTGGCTTTCATGAACCACTCAGCCACATGGGCTGGGTTCCCATCTATACCTCCCCCGCCTTTCTTATCCCTTTTTCGTGAACGCTCATCTCGTCTTCACTGAATCTTCCTTTTTGAATGCCTGCTGTCTCTTGTTGCCATAATATCAACATCGCGGTGTGACATTTCTTCCCAAGCTATCTGTTGTCTATAGTCGGTCTTATGCGCGTGGGCATAGCAGGCTATATTAGCAGCACAGGGCATTCTTTTGCTGTGTTGTTTTGATTTGAACGAGTGCTTTGGCTTGGTTGCATGCAGGGTGGTGGGCGAAATTCGAAGTGCAACAGATCTGTTAAAAATGCCCAGGCAGGTGTCATTATCTCAGAGGCAACGTCATGTTGAAAAGGAACGAGAGAGACGGCAACGATTCCACAATATCTTTGAGAGTTTGAGACATCACGGAAATTTCCGGTTGGGACCTCGTGCCACGGATTTTGACTACCTGGTTGCTGCGTTGGCAGAGGCTGGGTGGGAGGTGGAGAGTGATGGTCGAGCCCGGCGAAGGGAGGATATGGCGGTCACGGCCGTTCCGTGTGTTGTCGTTGCGGAGAGTTCCGATATCCCTGACGGCTTGCCTTGCTGTAAAGCAATCCCAATCCAGAAAATTGCCGCGGCTCCCCATCCGCAGTCTTGGGACATGTTGCCAGAGGACGGTGATGGAGAGCAAATGGGCTGCAACAAGAAGAAAAAGAAGCGAGGGATGACAGTGACGCATGTACAAGGAGAGGACGAGCAGGATGTTCGACATCTGTCACTGCCGTTAAAGGAATGCCGATCGGCTCGGGAGGCACCGGTTTTGTCGCTTGCATGATGCCGTCAAAAACAAACGAGAATGCAGAGGAATGACCGTCATTTCCACTGGATGTATGTAGTTTGTTTGGCTGGCTTCGGTAAGGTCGCGATGCTTGCGGTGGCCGCTGGACCGTATTGTTATGCGCCGTGAAGAAGGCGGCGCCGTGGTGGACAACGCGTACGATTGTCAGCGTGCATTCTGTTGCCCGCGTCATTCTTGGCTGTACGTGGCTGTTACCCAAGCGAGGGGGTGGGTGCGCAATGCAAAAGCGAGCTCTGACATGTACATAGAGAGGGTTCGACCTCTTGGCAGGTCGGTAAAGGCCTGAAGCAACAGTCTCAGTCTGTCGCGGCCCCTTATTTAGTTCTGATGACAATATCATGTATAAATGGAGCTTGCTGCTGCACAATTGTTGGCCGACAAGGTTCGAAAGATCGATGGATGCTAGTCTGCGTCAAGCGTGAAGTCTTGGTGGCGGAGTTTGCAACGTAACCTGTCGTTTCATAGGGCATCCCTCCGTGCCGATCCTCGCTCCCTTGTGCCCCCACAATTTTTCTCAGGTAATCCGACCGCTTCTTCCGATGAGGGTGTAGTAGAGGAGGGCTCCCATCCCTTGATAGTGTGAAGTGCTGGTCCGTAGTACCAGTCGATCGTGCCAGGTCTCCCACCAGGGTTTGCGTCTCGCTCCTTTGACTGATTGGAATACCGATCTCACTTGGCCTGGCGGTTTCAAGTAATGTATTCAGGTGATTGTTTCATTTCTTTCCACGCTTGCGGGCAGGGTGCCATCAGCTCCAAAAGGTTGGCAGTGCTGCTCATATGGGACCATTTGGCTTTGGTCCCGACGTTCCCCTTTGTGCTTGTACTACTTGGCTTGTTATTGGGCAGCATCTTGCCCACTGATCGCCGGACTGCTCAGTTGTTATTGGTTTAGCTCGGGTAGGTGGCGGGCTGGGCATTGAAGTTAGAGAATGCTACTTCTCCATTCTATATCTGCCTCTTCTTTTTGGTCCCCCCCTCATCCTGTTTCATTCCCTTTAACTCCATGCCATTTCATTCATTTCGTTCGATTTTCTTTCAGTTCGCTTCGTTGCACGCACATGTCACACATTCACAGTGATGGCTTGCTCGCTGCTCATCCGACGATTCGCCATGACCTAGATGAGCTAGCACTGAAAAAAGTGGAGGTTGCTGTCGCACGGGTCATGAATCTTGACGTGTGTGTGCGTTTCAATCCCCTCCTCCCTTCGATTTGCTGCAGTATGTATTTCATCTAACACTGAAATCTCTTTTCGTAGACAGTCCGTGCGCTTGATGATAGCTGCTGGCTGGGCATTGCCACTGCGAAGACTTTGCTGATCGAAATCTCATTTCCAGAACGTCCAGATTCCTCGTATATGGTGGTGGCCATGTTGGTTGTGGCGAAGCTGACTCGCAGCGGGCCTAGAAGAGGCAGAGGAGGGGCAAATGGGTTGTGATGACCAGTCGGTCAGTTTGCTTCTGATTGGTTGATTGGTTGGTTGATTGGTTGGTTGATTGGTTGATCGAGCGATTGTTTGATTAACATACCTCTGTCTCTCTGCGGTTAACGCTAGTTAACCATGGACATGACTGACTGGGTTTGTCTATGTCTGAAGTCTGTGGTTTATTTTTAGGTGAGCATGCATGGACATCATTGGTTGGGACTTGGAGTAGTATCCCTAGCTACGTAAGGCAGGGACTCAGCAAGGTAACATGTTTTCATAACAGGCGTACAGAGTCTACAGACGGTACAGGTAAGATTAGACCGTATATTATATCTGGCATTCTGAATCTCTTCTAAATGCTGCCTTGCTATGCTGGAGCTCGGTTCTGGATGTGTATTAGCCTAGCCAATAGCCAATTAGCCGATAGCCGATAGACGATAGCCAATAGCTAGTTGCAGTTTGTTTCGAACAGTTGATGCTGCAGGGTTGTGCACTGTTGCGGTTTGTTTGGTATTTTTTTCTTGTAATGAAAAAGAATTGTAAAGTCAGTACGCAAAGCAAATGCTGCAACGCAAAGCTGTGCAATGACGCTTTCAACAGCAGGGCTGATCTTGAGTCCGGTCGTGATGATCCATGGAGAGTAGTTGTTGTGATGGCTGCTCCTGACAGGGGCAGAAGTGCATCTTATCTTGGCCGTTGATTGAATCTGCAGCTGCTATACATGCGTAATGGATATGACTCACTGTTGTTGCTTGGCATTGCAGATTCAGTCGCTGCTACTCCTTTACTGTCACAGGTGCAAGGCATGCTTCCGTTAGTGGGTGCCGGCATTCTTGCCAACCTTGCTTGCGTGTTTGTCTGCACACTTTATGCCGAACGAAAGACTGCATGCAAGGCTGGGTGAGTAAAAAGTACAGCTCACGAGAATCAGCTTGTCCAGGTCCCCATTTGAAACACCGTGGGATTCAGACGCGAAGCGTCTTGTCTTCAAGCCAGCCATTATGCATGTCTGCAAGCTGGTCAGACAGAGCTCAGGTTTATTCGGAGCATTTGGGAAACAGGACCTTAGCATGCTGTCCTGTTAACTTAGGGTTAAATTTGTTCGTCAAGTGAGTCGTCAATAAAGGCGACATGTCTGCTGGTTATTTATGTGTACCATGTGCAGTATTGTTGCAAAGTCTGTGCGTGCGTGCGTGCGTGCGTGTGTGTGTGTGTGTGTGTGTGTGTGTGTGTGTGTGTGTGTGTGTGTGTGTTGTGTGTGTGTGCGTGCGTGT